ATTGAAAATATCCCAAAAATATTTTCTTTCTACTTACTTGTGAAGCTAAAGAGAAAGTCGGACCTGGTGATCGCTTTTTATTCGGGGCGGGCGTTGCGTTGTTGGCTGCCCCACCTGAATTCGAGCCTTTCCGTTTCCGTCTCTTGTTCGCCGGCCTCTGCGATTCTGGTCGACCAAATTATCAAAATAACACAATTAGGACATGATAAATAATGCCAGCATTCAAGCCAACACAAACGGATGATCATAGAAATAATGAAAATGTATAAAACTAGCTCAGGATCGTGTCCAGTTGTATCAACTTGTTATCAATATTAACAGCTATTTGTCGTGCAATGGTTGGGTTTCATCAGGATTGTTTTCATTTTTGCAATACATTTTCTGTTTAAAAACTTACAGTTTGTGGTTACTCGGTTTCCTGTTTAACGTGGCCTTTTACTAATAGACTTGAAACAATATTAATGTCATAGGGAATCAACACAATTATTTTGGCGTCGAGTAATGGACAACACTGACTAATTAGACTGATCGATAGTAACTTGAAGATCATAAAAAATCACTTGTATTGTAGTGTTTATGCGTTAAACGACACCAAACCACACACACTCTTATCAGGCACACTGCTATAGTATAACCAAGTAGAGCAAAAATGAATAATCCTATAGTGCAAAATAAGAAAAGTACCTCTCGTACCAGGCGGGGCGATGATCCGTTGCCATTTCTGAAATAATGTCGTTTTGAGACAATCTCTTGGACTAAGGGCGTACGCTTTATTCCTGGACATGAGTTCTTGCATTGGCTCAAGTATCACACATAGCTGAAACAGAACCATCTACTTTAGACCAAATTAAAGTATACAATCTTAAGGCAAAAGGTAAGAAAATACCTCGAAAGTCTCCAAACTTTCCCTACTATTTACTACCTTCTTCAACGCATTGAAGGCTCATAGGACTCAATTTTTCATTCAAGTTTCATTCAATTCAATACAAGCAAAAGGAAAGACAAAAATGAATATATAACTTGATCATTTATCGATCTTCAATTTAGAAGTCGACTCTAATTTCTTCTGGAGGAGGTTTGAATCCATGATGAGATCAAGAATCAAAAACATCGCAAAATAGTTTGTAAATAATGCATGTTTTAAACGTTCTTCTTCTGACTTCTCTAAACATTCACATGTACCTATGTTTTGCAGTGAATTGACTGACTTTTTAAAACCGATTGTTTAAGAAATAAACTAATTAACATAAAAATATACACATTTTCAGTGCTAACTATCTAAACGCTCTTGATTATTCAACGTGTCCAGGATAAAGGGCCAATATGGGAATCATTAAAATAAAATAAATCTCAAACTTTTCGAATTTTTTCCCAATAAGAAAAGAAAATTCCTATTCACAGTTTCACAGCGTCATTTTATTAACATTTTATTAGTACTGGCCCTTTTATCTTTGTATTAGACACAGTGTTTCTAATACAAAGCGGAACATCAAATCCTTCTTTGATTTTTGTATTAAAAAAATGAAACTTACCGAGTCTTATAGCCCTTCGTGCGATACCACCTTCGTGCGAGTCGTGTTTATTGCGAATTATTTGACCAAACTCGGTTCCGATAACGAAGGAATTTCAAGAACTTTATATAGAATATATTTCAATCTGACCCGGTGAAATAGCTATCGACAAACACAAACAAACTCTGTACAGTACCGAGAGTAGAATACATGGGCTGCATAGCCGTACAGGAAGGAAAAAATGGAGATTGAGAGCTCACAAGAGTACGAGTCGGATCGAGCTTCACAGGAGGGACTTTTCTCCAATGCATGAAGCAAAAAAAACAAGCGTGGGACACACCATCAACATCATTGCAGAAAGCCGCCAGAAATCCACACAAATGGCAACAACAACAATTTGGCCAACAAGAAAACTTTTACAACCACCAACAACATATCACCATGCATTCTTAGAGCATGCAACACCTGAAACCACCAGCGTCCAACTAGCCCTCAAATGGGAGAAGCTAGACGATAACAACCAGGACGTCATAATAAAACAAGAGAATGCATTTATCATCAGAACTAACAAAAGAAGACAAAACAACAAAATCACTTCAAGTACTATTGGGTCAGAAAATTATAACTGTATTTAAACAATACAACCATGTATCAAGGCAATAGTAGTCGTCAAATAACGCCCTCATGCCCAGCAACGGGAGTCGACCTTGATATAACCGACGAGATGTTCGCAAAACAGCTGCAGAAACTCAATCTCCAAGTAAGGTTTTGCAAGAGGATTATTTCGAGGCAGACGACGCTGATGATTAGACTGATCACAGGGCACCTGATACATACGAGAAGCTAATGAACGAACGCTCGGTGCACTTCTTGGGCCGTGTGTTCAGAATAATTGAGAACAGACCACCAGCACCCGTTTCAGTACCATGCAGCAAATGCAATCTGTTCGAACACAGCACTGAAGTCTGCAAACAACCGCCAAAGTGCACGTCGCCACTACCAGTCAAGTGCGCAGCCTGGAGCATAAAATGCCCCAAAAGACCCACCCCACATCAAAATTAAATGTTTAAACAAACAGACGACCGAGATAACAGAGACAATAACAGCGACAAGTAGAATACATACACCCATTACCAAACATGACTACATCATAAACAAATGCAAACATCAACTAACAAACAATACTAACAGCCGCCACGGGCGGCGCCGCAGTGCTTCTCAAACCCATTACCAAACTAGGCAAAGCAAATCATCCCCACCTCAACAACCCATTGAACGACTGCATACATGTTACCATAGCCTACTTAAATGACTTATTTCACATATTTCTGACATACATACACCCACACTCCATTCTAGAACAAAACATACTGATCAAAGTCTTCACAAATACGCAATTATTGTGGGCGACTTTAACCTCATCAAGAACAAAACAACGGACTTTATAAAACAGCTCACCCCATCAACTTTTCTGATTCCCGTAAACTGGGAACGGCGATCACATGAGAAAGAAGGGCGTGGTTCTCTCGTGAAGCGAATATTGGTATTCTTGAACGCGATCGAGTGATCCCATCACCCAACGGCAGTAGAACAAGCTTCTCTTGCCAAATCTCGCGGGAACGGATCGTTCACCGGTTTTATAACCACACACTACACAGATTTTGGCGTAGGTACCCGGTTTGAAAAGTGCTGTGATTTCGGTTCGAACTCGAAATAATGAATTTCATAAATAAAACTTTACAGTGTTTATAAAATAAGGAGCAATTTAAGAGATTTTCTAACAGAGAGTAGAGCGAGCTTGTATGGAATTGTTCTCAACAATCTTCAAGGTAAGTTTTTGTGTTTCGAATCGTGTCTTGTAGTAGAAACTATTTTAGTATTACTGAATTAACTTGTAGATGCAGAGGAACAAGAAGAAAATCCTCCACGGGCAATTTTATCAACCCATAAACGCTATGGAATTAAATAAAGTAAAGTTCGTCAAGCTTTTTATGTTGAATAAGCAGCTGGTGCTCCAATTGATAGAGAAGCTGACGCCCTATCTTCAAGCACCAAGTAGAAGTTCTGCTATAAGCATCGAAACAAAAGTAAGTACCTACATGTACAGTCGGCGTCACATAAAAGTAGAACATTAAATAGTTGTGTAAATCTGACTTTCTACCTCGATCTACCTTTGCGTAAATGACAAAACTGACAATTACATTTTCCTAATATCAAAATGACACTTAATCGAATTTGAAAAAACTCGAATAATTACATTAATGGAGGAAGGAGCATCAACCAAAACAGTAGCTGAGAGATTTGGAAAACCGACGAGCACGATATATAAACAGGGCAATTAAATTGTTAAATTAAAACAAGTTTGTGACATACATTGTACATATATTTGACGTATTTTACAAAGCCTGATTTACCGAAATCCGGAAAAATCGTCTTTAAGAGTCGTCTTCTTTTATAACTCGATATAATCGAAATAAATTTTTTTAGGTCCTTGTTACACTGAGATTTTATGCTACAGGCAGTTAGCAAGAAATAACTGGAAGTAATATATTTACTGCCATTAGCCAGCCTAGTGTATCTCGGTGCATTACAGAAGTGACTGATTCACTAAATCAACCCAAGATTTTCAATGATTGGCGATTCAGGTAATAACAGTTCCTAACCATAACAGAGACCGGTGAACGCTTCTCACATCGCTTCCTATGCATTCGAGAATACGGTTTTCGAACCATAGTAGAAATGGGAAGGGAATGGTCACATTGGCGATGGGATCGTTCACGTTCTCTCGAGCTCCAGAATTGGGCACCAGACGTTTTACTGCACAGAACAAGCTTAATAACACCATTAATAACATAGGCCTTACTAACGAACTTGGCTCCGACCATCTGGCTATAACGTTTAACATAGACTTCTTAAAACATACGCAACCTACCCTCAGTACACCGAATCAAGAGAAAAAGCTAAAATGAACTAAGACTGACATAGACAAAGTGAAGCAACACATACATAACTACATACAACCGCAAGCACAGACCACCTCAATTGAAACCATACAACAACTTTCACTAACGACAGGAAAATTCACCCCTGAAATAAATAATGTTTTCCACCGTCACAACCTTCCCAAATTCATACTGTGACTCATAAACCATAAGAGAGAACTTTACAGACTATATACTTACACCCAAAATAACGACCTAAAAAAGACACCGAACCAACTTAACAAGAACATTAAGTCAGATTTGACAATACCGACAAGTATATACACCAAACTATACTTACAAACTAATCACAGACACAGAGTACGATGAAGCCCTATCACACATCAAAAACACAGCCCCGGGAAAAGACAAAATACACAAAAAGGGAAAAACCCCTGGAAACCTTAACCCAAGAAACCCACAAACTTATAGAAACAACAACAACAACACAAACAACAGAACAAATTGCACTAATACTAATAACACGAATCAGACCCAGAACCCACTGCACAACCCTTCCAACCAACTACTATACGAACGCACAAACATGACAAAAATTTCGGAAAGACTAATACACTTACAGACAAAATGGACAAAAAACCCCCACAACTGGACCTTCTGAGGCAAGGGAAATTCAGTATATTTCCCTTGCCTCAGAAGACAGACAAAACACTCCCGTTTTCGTTCCCCAACAGATACTTTACTCGAACACCTACAACTGAACTAACGACTAAGACCTGTTTGTTTTGTAAGCCAAGAATTTATTTTATTTTTATCACTGATTAGTTCATACGAGTGTTAGGAATAGGAATTTATTTTAGAATAGCTAGGCTAAAATGTACACACATATGTACTACAACACAAGGGCAGAAAGACCAATTGGGTCGATAGCATTTTTCTGTACGGAAATAAAGATTATTTACATATATATATATATGAAACTTACCCTTAAATAATTCAGTGTAGAATTGGTAATTCCCTGCCTCGTGATGTTTTTACTGAGTTGTTCCAACATACCGGGATCCTGTTGTGCGTGCATACCGACAACAGATCTAGGAATCAGTTCTCTATGGTTTCTCACAGCAAAATGCCACGATTTTATCCTCATCAGATCGTCGAAGGTGAATTCTAGAATTAATCGGCCTTCTGTACACACCTGCAATTATAAAGAGAAGTTTTTATTGAAAACTATATAAACTGTTGTTCCAAATAACTGGAAAAACTCGATAAATGTAACACTTGAGTATAACGAAAAAAATACCAAAAAACTTTGGGATTTTTAAATAGTTGGATTTAATTCAAATTTTGAAGTTCAGCTACCAACTTAAATAACGCGTCGTTAAGTGTTTTCGTGGTGAGAATAAATCAAAACACCTTGTTATTCAATTAAAATCGGATTGAAATATTGCCAAATAATGGACTTTTTTACATTGACACAGTTTTATTCTGGGTATTTTGATTCTACATATATTCATAGAAAATCAACCGCCTTATTAATAATAATTAATTGAAATTCATTAATCAATGAGAATTGATTCGATAACTTATTGTTTTCAATAAAGCTTCAGATAATCAGCTAGAGCTAGCGCATTATCCCAATAAGCTAAATCTATTTTTATGACTACATCGGTAGATAAAAGGTAGGTTTTCATTATTATGTGTACACTTATTAGGAACTATGCATGTACTCGTTATCTGTGGTGAAATTACATTTACCTTATGTATTGTAAGTGTGTCATACGATAAAATTGTTCAAATGTAAGCTATATGACGAAAATACCGAATTAACATTCTCAAACTTATATATAATATAACATATAATGAAAATAATTACATTTGCGAATATAAATTTTACTTAACGATAAAAAAAATCGCACAGATCGTGCCAATGAAATTTACGATAGTCCCAACTAATAATAATAAATTTCCAACCCCCAAGATAATAAAAGCAAAAATAAGAAAATATTAAAAAATGATCTCAAACATCCGTTGCATCATAAGAACCATTTCGATAGAGCATTGCGAGACTGGCGCAAAAGTCCTAACGTCTAAAGAAATGAAGCCAAATTTTTAGATTACATCTCGAGAATATTGAATCTCTTCGATGGAGTGTCTTGAGGACTAGCGCTTACTAATTAAGCTTTTCAAAAATGTCTAACCATCATACAGTTAGAAAGCAATTTTTATTAGGTCTATTTTTAAGAGATCATATATTGGAAATGGATAAAAATATCTGAATATTTATTAAAATCATCTCCATAGAACGGTCTTTATTGAGAAATACCTGACCCTTAGAAAGTTATAAGCAAAACAAGCAAATGTAGCACGGAGCCAATTTAGTTTAGATTCATCAGCTTGGGAAGCCGTTGAAAATATTTGACTAACTATTATATCTTTATTAATATGAGATAACAGAGTTTTCTAGCCTTCTGAAGAAGGGAAAATCTGAAGAAGGGAAAATTCAAACTTTAAGACGCCGTCACAGTTCAATAGGTTGTACTTTAAGTACTAGCGTTTATTAGATTCCGGACTTCTAGAAAAGTGGAAGCCAAAATATTGGATTGTAGGCCTGATCAGACTTATCTAGAATTCACAGCTTTCACAAGTGAGGAGAGAAAATCGCAATTTTTAACGAGCCGTAAAAGCTTATAAGCCGGAAACGGTAGAAAATATATCAATAATCACTAGAAACTTTAGGAAATCTTCCATAATTTGGATTTTTCAAAAATTCCTAACGTGTACGATATACGCCAATTTTGGTAGCACTTGTTGAAACTTTTGCAACCACCGTTTATTTGTGACGTGGGCAGTTTTTATACAAAGAAAACTCTCAGCTTGGCAAAGTAACCGTCGAGTAAGTTAGACAATATTTCAGTGGTACGCGGTAGCTTGTAATATAAGTTATGATACAATAGAACCGAATAATTTTTGTACAAATAATCATACAATACCTAATTCATCGACTTTTTTCAACTGCTCCAATTTGCGCTTTATCTGTTTATTCCCCAACTTTCGCCTAAATAAGGAAATATAAGTTGTAAATAGCTTACCTTGGTGAACAAAGGTTTCCCATGATTCGTAACCATAGTGCATTGGTCACAATCCAGGGTTATACTAGTGTTGTGGAAGGATTCTTTCGGATGCTTCAAATTATAATATAACTCAGTCACGCCTCCCTCAAATATACTCCTAAAGTATCTAGGTATTAACGTTCTTCCGATAGCTGCAAGCAAAAAATTATTCCAGTGAAAGCGCTGCTTTTTAACAACTGAAAAATACATAAGTATGGATATTTTAGAAAAAATCCTACTCACTATATCGTTTTGGTCCATCTTCTAAACAAAATGCTAATGTTAGGGAAGAATCATCTTCGAAGAACTCGGTTGCAAATGCGTCCCACCATAAGTTATCGCTTTCCTAAAAAAAGTCATTCCTGGTTAACGGTACGAATAAATCTGAAGGTTTGTAAATTATTCTTGCATTTAATCAACTGAAAATATTTTTAAAAACGTATTGAACAAATTGCAGTTTGCTATCAGCACAATGTAATTTCGATATGGTGCAAACGAATTAAACTTTCTTTCCGATTTTTCATATTTTTAACTGCAAGAAAGATATTAAGGGTGGGAAGTTCTCAAATTGACCCCAACAGGAAGATCGTCGCTCTATTGATACCGGGTGTCAATTTGAAAATTTTCCATCCGGTATATATAGAGCGGCGATCTTCCTGTTGGACCTACATCTACTAAAATCTAAGAATTAGTAAAAAAATTAACTTACTATTCTTACCTCCGTCCGCTGCTGCAACCGCCTATTTAATTCGTATATCCTGTAGTCAGGTTGGCCAAAATAAGGGGTATGTCTTCTTGGAACAGGCAGGGACCTGAAAAAAACATTCATTTTTATAACGTTCATCAGACAAAGCAGAATTACTTATATACGTACTATTCAGTCTTATTCAATTATATATTGCGTAATAAATACATGAAGATAAAAACTCCCCAATAGGAAACCATCTTAATTAATTACGATTCGAATAAAGTAGCTTCATATGGAGCATGTAGAGATAAGCTTGGTAAAGTATTAAGAAACTTTTTCAAGGTCTAGGTCTACGAAGTTTCCCAACTAAAGGAAATCCAATAATTCTCCATGGCCGTTATCTTGATTTATGCCCGACAATAATTGCATCTTAAGAGATACGCTCGGGCTCAGTGCATACACTTATGTAGCTAAATTGAATTATGCTGTATTGTGAAATTCGTGGCTAAGGAACGAGGAATTCTTTCGGCAAATAAAGATACTGTGAACTATTATATCTAGTTTGATGATTAGTAATTAATAAAGCGCCTATAGTTGTTTGCGTCTTATAAGGAAATGCAAAGAAAATATGATTGAACGACATCACGACTACGAAGCCTTTAAAGAGTTGAATGAACATGAAACTCATTATCAGCGGTTTACCGATAAAACTGAGCTCAAACAATAGATCGAGCGAGTTCTTGACATAATGGTGAATGCTCCACAACAACTTAGATAATAGAATGAGCAAAAACGTATGTAATGGATTTACTTAAAATTGATTTATTTCTGATTTAAATTAATCGAGTCAGTCATTTTAATGTCGCAAAAACTACTAAAATCAAACAATGTGTGACAGGTACAACTGAGCTATAAAAGTTCTTTCGGGTAAACCCAATTTAATTCCCTAGAAAGCATAATACGTAGTATAAAACGCAATCATTATAATCTGGAACTGTTTGCCGTATTACTGACTTTGTAATCCACCTGATAAGCATACAATATATCTTATCCGGATTATCATAAAGCGAGCAACATCCACTGAGCATAAGCATAACCATACCATAAATTATCGCCGAACTCCCAAGCGCAATGATATACGCGTCCAAGAGCGGTTGAGAGAGATCATCCCGTTGGCGATTTATTCAATTAACTATTCGTTTTAATTGAATGAATAGTTGTCGGAATAAATCATTTTGTTCGCAAGCGATTCATCAAGCCCAAGATAAAGTTCCGTTTGTCGCCGACTGAGTGATATGGTCTTACACGAAATGGGATCTTAAATCTCCGTTGGATAATCGAATCGTCGTTACTGATGATTTATTACGACAGATGGGCGATATATGGAACGGTGTTATGTAAGATTCATCATCTGATTTGATCACTTGATCTCATATAATTAATATACAGTTTTTCGAACTCATGTATAAACTAATGGAGAAATGTGAGTATGAGAGTCGAAATTAAATCAAATCTATCAATCGGATATTGATTCAAAACTCAGTGGAACTCAAATTAATATGTTTCTTTCCGAGGCACCTTAGAACAATGTACCGGTTTTTTTTTAACTTGAAACTCTTAAATATTTCGGAAATTAGTGATCCTACGAAAAAGTGTGTCAAATAAGAAGTTAATTTCTCAGAGGGGGAGGTTGATTCCCGTTAGAAAAAAACGCCTTCTTCGATATTACCACCTAGATACTAGATATATCTAGGTGGTATTGATGTGACCCAGAACATATGGGAGAATTATTTGAGAGTGAACACTTGAAGAGCAGATTATGATTTCTAGCGTGTACCTACTTTGATTTTCTCGTGTTTTTTCTGTTTTTTTTTCGAGCAAATTATATTAATGGGGTACCTGCAAGTTACGGAAATCTTTTACATTTGTGATTATCTCAAAAGTTCCAGTCTACTCAAAATTCGTTGAAATGTTTGCAATTGAAAAGTGCACATTTTCATAAAGCAGCCACAGTACTAGAAAAAAACGGTTTTGTCTGGTTACCAGCGCAAATTATCAAAAAGTGGTCAAGTTGTAAAACTTCAAAATAAAGCGCGGTCTGCAAACCAAGTAATATAATTTGCAAACCGCCGAATTAAAAAAACTCAAAAGCTGGAGCTTTAAACAATTGGAAAAACCGTGCTCTGACTAAATGTGTGCATTTAGGTGTATATGACTAATTAAAAAACAAACCAATTGCTAATAATCCCCGGACTCTCAAACGAAATAAAGTAGGAGGGTTTTTCAGGGTCACCAATTTGTGGCTAAAGCACTAATTTATTAACATTTTCCAATGACTGGCAAGAAAGGATGTTCTGGGATAGTAGGTGCATCGACAAGTTCTTATCGAATTAAATCAACTGAATGTTTCCACCTAAAGATCTCAATTTAGATAAATTATACTATTCCCAGATTTTATCAACGCTAATATCAAAGTCCTTTGATTTGCGCAACGCAAACCTGCAAACATAATCAAATTAATTACTCAAACTGTAGGTACATATTTGCTCAAAAATAGTCAACTATGATGTTTAAATCTGATTAGTGAGCAGATTTAGAATGAAGTAATCCGTATATTTCTCATATTCATATATAAAATGAATCTCAATGTCCTTTGGCAACACCCCAGCAAAATAAAACTCATGAATCAAGTTGCACATTTGACTAAAAATAACAGCTTCTACGGTCGATTTATCATTTTACTCGAACTCGGACATCAATCTCACTTCTTGCTATGCTAATTCAAGTTCTATATTCGTATCATACATGGAAAAAACTTGAAAAAATAATAATATCACGTGGCATTTAAAAAACATGAGGCAAATCTTGAGTGTTTGGCCGTTTGGATCACCAGATTACAACCTTTTTGATTTTTACCTCTGGGCAATCGTAGCCTAAGAAGTGCTTCGGTACAAAAAATTTCTTAGCCTACAAATAAACCAATTAAAACCCTCAGAGGCACAATAGAATCAAAATTCGATATTTTTAGGGCGTTTATTTACTACTTCAATCAATTTTTGTTTTATCAACCTATATATTTAGATTGATTTGGTTGAAATGTGTAGTGATTACCTGAAATGTGGATGACCAAATGGTGAGCAATAAAAGGGATCACCGTTCAAATGAGGTGGGATTCCACTCGATCCACATGGTGGCCCCACTGGCATTCGCGGCTGTTGGTGGGGACCCACCGGAGTTGGGGTCCCCACTAGAATTGGTCCCCCGTTGCAAATCGTGATCGTTTCAGTTCATTCAAACACTGATCTTAAGCACTACCCAGTTTCCCACACTGTTCTTCAACTAGACAAGCGATTATTTTTTAAATAAAAATACTGCCCCTAGTGTCGGGTGTTGTGGTTTTGCAGGCTTATTAATCATTCTGGTTTGGTTTCCATATCAAACGGTCATAAATGCTATTGGAAATATCATGAGAATGTGATAATTTGCTTTAAACCTGATCAGCTTTCACACTCGTTGAAAGTGTACCCTTAGTGCACTTCAGTCAGAAACAGCATAGACGCCAGGGGAAACATTTTTTTTAATTAATTGTAGTCGTTTTTTATTCTCGGTTTATGTAGCAGAAAATAAATAATTCCTCTTACAGACAGTCATAATTCACATTGAACACTCCATCCTAGTCGTTTTTGTAAAGTAAATGAAATTTCCTGGTGGCCTTATTTCTTAATGCAACTCATTTACTGCAATCAATAGTCGGATCACTTGAGGGCGTTAAAAATTGATTGAAAAAAACATCATACGCAAATTGTGGGTTGCACGTTGTACGATAATACATTTAATAGTTAAATGAAGTGGAGAATTAGAAGACAACACGTGCTTTCTTGAGATGTATAGAAGAAAATAATTCATGAAAATGTGAATTATTGGCTGGAAAAACACAGTGACTATACAGTTTTCTTAGGTTTTCGACAAATAGAAGACGTTTAATTACTAATTTATCAAAACAAAATATTTCTTATAAAGAATTATTATTCCATGATCCCAAAGCTAACATGCATGAAATAGAATAACCAGAATTGAAATGTGCAATTAGGTTCACCTGGCATTAAAAGTAAGGTTTTATAATTTTTCTGAAAATTATCTGTATACATTTCATCCTTCTAAATATTTTTTTATTTGATTAGTTTTATTCCCAAAATACATTTGCTTTTTGTTTAGTAAAAGCACGATAAGTTTTCAATTCTTCAGTAAACAATATTGCATTAAATGCGAGATAATATTCAAAAATATATTTAAAAAAGTTTAGTTGCATCTTTGAATGTACGATTCTATTTCCATTCTGATCAGTTTTTTTAGTAAAGTAGTGAGTTTTCTGTTAACCGTTGGTTGCTATACAGAATAAGAAAACCTTGAAAAACCACAAAAAACGGAATTCAGTGGTTTTGTGTCGAAAATAATATCTGAAAAAGGAAAACTGTTCCACTGGTATTAAAACTATTAACTACTGTTTCAACTTGATGATCTCAAGCTCAAACCCTAAAGTTTGTCGAATTTTCCAAAGGAAGTTTTTCCACGTTGGAAAAAAGTTACTTTGCATTCGACCACATTCATTTCAGATCTAAAAGCGAATACTGGATGGTTATAATTTAGGTGTTGAACCATGCAAACCGTTTGATTAACATTCATAATATTCAGATAAATAATTTGAAATAGAGTTTTCTATGTGGCGACAACATGAGTATATTTTACATGGTCCTGCAATAATGTTTCAGCCCTCGGTAGCTCGAACACGATTTTTTTTGTAAGAAATTTTACTGTATAAACATGTCTAGTTTAGATTTACAGTGATGCAAAAGTCGGATAGTTTTGGAGCGAACATTTTTTTGTCAGGCTCCTCTGCTATTAACAGATAAATATTTTCAAAATAAAGTTTTTTCAAAAATCGAGAGAGTTTAACGATTGATTTTAATAAAACTTAGAGTCATGTTCTTGAGAGTCTTTGTACAAAAACTACTGCTTTTAATTGAGAGGTGGAATCAACTGTTTTTTTTAGTTGATGCACTTTTGAACTTTGTAAAATCTTGAAGCAATCGTAGTTTTTGGAAAAAAAGTTCCATTTCCTTGCTA